ATATATATATATATATATATATGTATGTATGTATGTATGTATGTATATCTTGTAATTTGAATTCCTAATTGGGAAATATTAATTTACCGTACATGCTTCTTAAGAAAATTTCGTATTTCCCGAGGCAGATAGACGTAAGCAGACGGTTATGTGTGTGTGTGTGTGTGTGTGTGTGTGTGTGTGTGTGTGTGTGTGTGTGTGTGTGTGTGTGTGTGTGTGTGTGTGTAGATAGATAGATAGATAGATAGATAGATAGATAGATAGATAGATAGATATAAAGAGTGGTAGAGAGTAAGTATAATAATGGACAGAAATGAATTGATGAAGATAGATAGATAGATAGATAGATAGATAGATAGATAGATAGATAGATAGGGACAGACTGGGATAGAGAGATTCTTAACAGGCTGACGTAGATAGATAGATAGATAGATAGATAGATAGATAGATGAATGATATGGACAGACTGAGATAGAGACACTCTTAACAGACTGAGATAGATAGATAGATAGATAGATGTGTACATATCGTTAAATTGATTGATTTAAGCAGGTAGATAACTAGAGTGATAGAAAAAGAAATATTAGAAAGAAAGATTAAATCAAACAGAGGTATATATATATATATATATATATATATATATATATATATATATATATATATATATAGTCTTTGAAGCTATTAAGAAAATGATATAAACGTTAATAATTCAAAATGTGTTTGAAAAAAAATTTAAACAATCAATTTAGATGTTAAAACAAAGCCTGAGTTAAAATTTGTTTTATTAAAGATATTGAAGTTATTTGATGTATTCTAACAAAAACAAAAACTGCCATCTGAAGTTATTAGGCAAAACGAAATAATCACATTATACTTCAATAAAAATGTAACAAAATCACAATAAATTGATCAACACCTATAATAGAATAAATAACAAGCACATACGACAAGACGTTGAAGCCTTTATATTTTAATACAGTGAGCCTTCTTAATAAATGCCAGTAATCTATCATACATTTATTCTGTTCATTTCCTTCAGCAATTTTCTACATAGTGATTTGAATTTCTTCTCATAGGTCTGCTTTGCTGTTTGCCATCTACAAATAATTTCATCAATTCACCATAAATTTTCGATTGGATTCAGTCCAGGCGTTGATGGTGGCCATTCCATTTGCTTCTCTTCTGTAAACATTTTATGCTGAAGGGAAGCTTGGATAAATGAGTAGGAGCATTCTTGTGCATAAATCAGCTCTTTATTTTGAAACTACGAGACTGGGACTTGTATCATGCAAAGGAAATCTTGTTCCTAAAATGGAAATAATTAGCACTGTTCAGTTTAACTCATTTATCGAATGATCCAATAATGGTTTGGTCGACAATTCCATCACATATTTAGACTCCTGTCTCCTTGTTAACATCTCTTAACCACAGGCTATCTGAATTGAATAAAATCAATTTTTGTCTCATTCATCAAATGCCCCTTAAGATTCATTAGAAATATCAATTATCATGTATCTGTTGGTCTAATTTAGTGAGAGGAGTTTGCCTAGAGATTCTTTTTTTTAACAGATCATAATTCACAAAGTATTCTACACATTTTGTCTTTCTTGACAGTGTCAATTCCAGCAATTTTGAATGATCTGATCGCTAATGATATAACTATAACTCGTTTCAGTTCACGTTATATATTGAAGAAGCGAGTTCTTTACGCCTTTTCCTTTGCTTCGCGTTCTCAATTTAGTTATATTCTCAGCAGCCTTCTTTATCGTTCGACGATCTTTGCAATGCCCCTTTGATACATCTAATATGGACATTTACTCATTCAGTAACTTTGTTAGTTTTTGTTTTTTCCGCAGTTGTTAGAGTCTTCCCTTTACCTAATGTTTCAGCATATAGTTATTTTCCAAGCATAGCTTAGATGTGGCCCAAGGTATAACGGTTAACAAGCATGTCTAGTGAGGATCGAACTCACTTTTCAGTCGTAACTGATCTAGCAAGACAAGCTTGCCAACCATTACCCCACGCCGAGGTGCTCAATATATTGATTTTCTAAGTGTAACTTAGATATGGCACAAGGCCGAAAGTATGGGGCATCTAGTAAGGGTCGAACTCACTTTTCAGTCGTAACTGATCTAGCAAGACATGCTTGCTAACCATTACACCACGCCGAGGTGCCAATGTTTCAGTATATAGTTATTTTCCAAGCATAGTTAGATGTGGCACAAGGCCGAAAGTATGGGGCATCTAGTGAGGATCGAACTCACTTTTCAGTCGTAACTGATCTAGCAAGACAAGCTTGCTAACCGTTACACCATGCCGAGATGCCAATGTTTCAGCATATAACAATCATGGACAAAAAAAAAAAATAGTTTTATAAGATTTCAGAAGTTTTAAGCTAATATTAGTTTAATCTACATAATAACTTCAGTCAGTCCATTTTCGTAAATTCCAAATATCTAAAAAACTAACCATTAAAAAATGAGCAGAATGTTTAGTTAAATATTTCACTTAGGGTGGAAATAAAGAAACTTAAATTTGACAAATCTTGCTTCAGAAATATTGAGTAATTGAGGTTTAGTTCATTTACATAACTTCAGACAGCTGTATATATCGGGTGTAATAGCACAATTGTCCAAATCATGTGACAGCAAAATTTTCCAATTGTTGCATTTAACTTTGAACCGTTGCATTTTAGAAATGACCAAAGATATCTTACTGGAATTCTCTAAGGTTATTCGACTCTACTTTGAACAATAAGAATCTACTTAGCATAACGTTGAAATAATGATCCCTCTTTTCTTTTGTGACCTCCTGATCCAGTTTTCCTTTCAATTGTTACCGCTTTTAAAAACTTATTCATCGTTCTCTTGATGGATCTTGAACGGAAATTGAAGATAAAAGCCAGAATATGAATGTTGGTACCTTTACTGAAGCTCTGAATGATCTTTTTCATTTCACCATTTCTCAGTTGGGAACATAGTGGGCATAAACACAAAACGATTCAACCCGTTTTCTTTCTAGCCGAATAATTCCAAGAATTTTTCAGTGATTCTTACGACAAATGGTGTGAAGATGGCTAAAAGTCTTAGATAACCCGGAAAAAAAGAAAATCAATTAGTTTTTTTTACGGGATGGATACTTATCTCACGCTGTTACACAATTTGTACAATTTTGTCGTTACACCCAGTAAATATATATATATATATATATATATATATATATATATATATATATATATATATATATATATATTGAGGATGAAATGGAACTAATGACTTTAATTTAATCCCAAAAAATTAAATACGGGGCTTTTAGCTTCCATTTTTGAAACATGGTTAGAACAGTGTAGCGAAAAAAAAAACATATTTTAAATCAATTAATTTATCAAAATTATTTATATATATATATATATATATATATATATATATATATATATATATATATATATATATATATATATATCCTTGAGTGCGGTCTGATGAACTAGATAAAAACCATATTCAAGACGTTTAGACAGTTGTACGCTCCGGCCTTCTTCTATATCTGTCTATATTTCTGAGATGAGGTATTTTAATTATTTCACTATTTACATTGTTCGGACTGTTGTACTCATCTTTATTGCCATATTCACGACGTTTAGACCGTTGTACGCTACGGCCTTCTTCTATATCTGTCTATATTTCTGAGATGAGGTATTGTAACTATTTACACTATTTGCATTGTTCAGACTTTTGTCTTCAACTTTTGTGTCATGTTTCACGATGTTCACGACGTTTCGGTCGTTGTACGCTCCGGCCTTTTTCAGGATCTGTCTATATTTCACAGACGAGGTACTGCAACTATTTACTCTATTTACTATTTTCGGAATGTTGTCCTTATCTTTATAGTCATTTTATTGTTCAACTTGACCCGCCTTCGTAGCACCGGTTGGGGTCCCAGCTATGGGTAAATAGTGAACAAAAACAGAACAGAAACAGAAAAGAAACAGAAACAAAACACTAAAAAAATATAAAAATACATTTTTAAGCAAAAATGCCAGCAATACACTTTACCTGTAGTTGAAGACATAAAACTACGGGCAGAATATTTAGATTTCGACATTAAATGTTCCATAGAGGGGAATAGGCCGTGAACAAAATCAACCAACCTGCCAGCAATTGCAATACGAATAGGAACTTCCTCCTTATAAAAGGAATACGGAGGAACTGCTATGGAAAAATTCATGTTATTCAAGAAGGTTTGTTACCTGCAATTTGTACGGAATCATTTTTACTAGTTGATTTTTATGGACTGACTGTTGTTCATTTGCTTTGCAGGAATTCTAAGTGAAATTTGGGGGTAATCTTTTAAGAATTCATTTTTTTGTGTGGTTTATTTTTAAATGGCATTTTCTTCTGTTTCTTCCAACTTCCGTCTTCCTGATTTAAGTAAGTTCTGAAAACTACTCATGTCTTCAAAGTTATTAAATAAAGTCTTTCATTGTCTTTTAACTTTTCGTCTTCACCCATTTTTGCGTTTGAAGCCAGCTTCTAACAAGCGTGAAAGAGTCCATCTGTGCCATCAGCAACACAATTTCGACACGTTCCTCTGGAAGAGACGACATTTTGAATTCAGCGTCACACATACGAAAAAAGAAAGAAAAACATCGGCAAAGAATTTTTTTTTTTCAAATATATTTCTTGATTTATTAGTAAAATATTTTCTTTTTATTTTATTGTGGTTTTATACTCATTGTCACAAGAAATACGGTCGTTACTTTATTGACATCGTATACATACATAAATACATACACACACACACACACACATATATATATATATATATATATATATATATATATATATATACAGTATTTATATCTATCTTGCTTCTTAAATAGCTAGCCATTCCAATATTTTCTTACCTAACCGTCATAGACAACTTGTGTGTAAATATCAATAAATAAGGCTCTCTTTTTTTCCCATACATATGATGAGTGCTAACTCGAATATGACCGGGCTTATGGCCACATCGCATTGAAACACAGGTTCCCCCTACGACCACCGAAGTTAAACAACGTCGGGCTTGGCCAGTATCTAGATGGGTGATCTCTTGGTAATAAGACGTACTGTAAGCTTCTTTGTACAGGTACCGTAATTGAATTTTTAAAGCTGAAAGCCGAGTTCTAGTTCCAGTCGGGTTCTTTCAATTCACTTACGCGCAACAAATGCCATTGAGAAAGACATGAATCCAACTCATCTCACTCCAGCTATGGGTTAAGTAGTAAGAACCGCAATCACTATTATCTCCAAAAAATTACCTTACAATCTAAAAATATTTTCTGGCTTTAAATAACTTACAAAGTATCGATAAGCCGTAACAAACGAATCAATCGAGTCTGAACATCGGAGACAAATGTTTTCAATATTTACAGTCCATATAAGAATGAAAATGACTTTAGGAACCTAGAAAAAGACTTGCAATGTTTAGTGCAGACGTAAGATGGCTGGTCTGTTTGGTAAATTTCATTCAGCTTTTGGGGGATATTCAGGTGATATTTACATATATATTAATTATCGTCTTCACGCCAGATCGGCTGGTAAATATCTATTTTTTTTTTTTTTGCTGTAAGGAACTGGCTATATGGTAACCCAGTAGGGTTTTATGAAGCTCGGATACAAGCCATCATTAGTAGGTAGAGCACCGCCATTAAAAAGGGGGTGATGGCCGTTGAGAAGTAAGGTTGTAAATCTGTGTTGTATTTATGTGTTTGTATCTATATGTTTGGGCAGCAATCCCTCTTTTATACAAGTTTCATTAAAAACGACTGACAAGGTACTGCGGTTAAGTTTTTATTTGCTTTTTTGTGTTCTTATAAGATTGTAATATATCTTTGAAAATTTAAAAATATACAGGATGTTTCAAAAAATTTGATATCCTTTGAGATGTAAATATCACAGAAAGTACATGATTAAGGCAAATGAAATTAAAAAGTATTAATGTTGAAGATCATAAGATTTATTCTTCCAAATCTGAATGAGAAATTCAAAAGCATGTGGATTATGTGAACGATTTCACAAATGGTCAATATGCGAACCGCCTGAGACACGGCATTTTTATACCTGGAAAGAAAAAGATTTAAGATTAAAGAACATAAAAATGCAAATAAGAAAAACACAAAAACATAAAGACATAAAAACATAAAACAAACATTAAACATAAAGATGCTATTAAAATTTGAAGTCATTTGAAGGAGATCTAACAAAGTTATTAGATTGCGAAATGATATCAAATTTTTTGAAACACCCTGTATATCAAAATGCAAGGATCGTGAAGTGGAAATCTAAAAATGTGACGCAAGAGGACATCAGTAATTCCAGTTGTAGTTGGAACCCTCGGATTGATTGGAAAAGGGTCCGATAAACTCATTGAAGGAGTCCCTGGTAGCACATGCCTTAAAGAAATACCAAAAATTTTTACTCACTAGTACGGCTCACTCATTACGAAAATCTTTATCTCTATAAAATGTGTGTGATCATAGCTTTTTTTTTTACAAGAATGATTAGTGGACAATGTCATAAAGCGATTCTGACCTCAGGTCTCTGGTTGCGACCCGAAAGAAAATGTGCATATCAAATGAGGTCAAAGGAAATAATAATAATAATAATAATAATAATAATAATAATAATAATAATAATAACGCACTGAATATAAAACCCGGCATGACAGAGTTGGCCAATATCTGCACTGGAAAATATGCAACTTCTACGGGAAGGAAACTGAAAGAAACTGGTATGAACACCAACCAGACCCGGTTACCGAGATAGGACCTGTTACAATTCTATGGGACTACACAATACACACTGATAAAACAATCAAAGCCAACCGGCCAGATATTGTTATTAAAGACCACAAAAAAAGTGCCTCCTTATTGATATGGCAGTCCCTGCAGACTGCAATGTATCTTTGAAGATATTCAAAAAGCTGTCAAAATACAAGGACCTTCAAATAGAAATCTCAAAAATGTGGCATATGGGAACATCAAGAATCCCTGTTGTAGTTGGAGCCCTAGGACTGGTTGGAAAAGATTGCAGTAGACTAATTGAAGGGATTCCTGGAAGTCTATGTCTCAAAGTGATACAAAAAATTGTTCTGACAATTACAGCCCACAATGTACGAAGGGCTTTATCTATTGGATTTTTTTTTTTTTTTGTCAGTCGAATGTATCATGATGCCATTTCTAAGCTTAGGTCCCTGGGCGGGACCCGGAGAGAAATGTGTAAACGCCAGAAATCAAAGAAAATAAAAATGATAATAATAATAATAATAATTGCCCTTGTCCCCACCTTCGTGGCTTCGCATATATTAAAGGAATCTCATATTAAATGTGATCTCTGTTTACGTATTTACAAGTTGATATTCCGTGGCTGAGTCGGTATGAGCTCGTTTGATATAATGGCGTTTTTTCCTGCCAAGTGGGGCGCAGGTTCGAACCCTGCTGGAGTGCGTATATGTTCCTTT